GCAGCCTCTGCACCCCCCTGCCCCTGCAGCCTCTATGCCCCTGCCTGCCCTTGCTCCTCCTTGCCCTGCAGCCTCTGCACCCCCCTGCCCCTGCAGCCTCTATGCCCCTGCCTGCCCTTGCTCCTCCTTGCCCTGCAGCCCCTGCACCCCCCTGCCCCTGCAGCCTCTGTGCCCCCTGCTCCCCACTCGCCCTGCACTCTGCATGAGGGGAAGGGGGAAATCCCGGACATTTCTACTTTATTAGAAATCCCCCTCAGACGGCCATTTAAAGCTGAAAAAGCCAGACATGTCCAGGGAAACCCGGACGGATGGTAACCCTAACTAAGAACTTTGAAGAACCTCACTTTGCACATGCTTTGTAAAGGCTCATCAGTTGGCCAAATTTGGGTAAATTTTCATAGGAACAGCAAAAGGCACATCCTTGACACCACAGTGACCCCCAAGCCAAATTTCAAACCCCTGCGCTAAAGCATGGAGGCACTGGAGCTTTTTAACTGAAAGGTTGTAAGAATTTTTTTTAACATGGCCAAAACAATGTATTTTTCCCTAATCTCATTCTCAGAAATGGCTGAATTATTTTGTTGGAACACAATTAAGTCTGAGGCAAACACCTGTCCTAGAAAATTTCAGCCTACATGGTTAAAGTTTCCCATAGTTACATGCAACGGAAAACAGGGTCTTATAATGGAAAGTGTCAGGTAACCTTAATGACGGGCAGATCTACTAGCAGTATTCATAGATTCCAAGGCCAGAAGGGACCTTTGTGATCATCTAGTCTGACCTCCTGGATAGCACAGGCCAGAGACCTGCCCCAAAATAATTCCTAGAGCAGAGTTTATAGAAAAACATCCCATCTTGATTTAAAATTGTCAGTGATGGAGACTCCACCACAGCCCTTGGAAAACTGTTCCAATGGTTAATTACCCTCATTGTTAAAAAATTACACCTTATTTCCAATCTGAAATTTGTCTAGCTTCTTTGCTAGATAGAAGAGCCCATTATTAAATATTTGTTCCCTTTGTAGGTACTTATAGACTGTAATCAAGTCACCCCTTAATCATCTTTGTTAGGCTAAATAGATGGAGCTCCTGGAGTCTATCACTATAAGGCATCCTTTAATCATTCAGTGGGGAGGAATAGCTCAGTGGTTTGAGCATTGGCCTGCTAAATCCACGGTTATGAGTTCAATCCTTGAGGGGGCCACTTAGGGATCTGGGGCAAAATCAGTACTTGGTCCTGCTAGTGAAGGCAGGCGGCTGGACTCAATGACCTTTCAGGGTCCCCTTCCGGTTCTATGAGATAGGTATTCTTTTGGCTCGTCTCTCAGCCATCTCCAATGTATCAACATCTTTCTTGACCTGTGTTGTATCCACCAGGCAAGGTATTAACAAACTTCAACAGAACTTCATTTACAGTGCAAATCTCTTTACCAAGCTGTAACTGCACACTTTGTAACTCTCCCAGCCTCCTCAACTCCTCCCCGCTCCTTCCTGTTTCCTGTCCTTTCAGACTCCCAACAGCCAGTGCTCCCAGTTCTAATAATCACATGCAGCATCTAAACACCACAACCTGTGGACACCAGAACTGGACACAGGATTCCAGCAGCGGTCGCACCAGTGCCCAATACAGAGGTCAAATAACCTCTCTGCTCCTAACTCAAGATTCCCAGAAGTGCATTTGCTCTTTTGACCACAGCGTTGCACTGGGAACTTGTTGCAACCCTAAGCATTGAATTAACCAGACCTCACAGGATGAGATTTAAAAAATTAAAATAAAACTGGGTTTTTTTTTTAAATTATTCTGTTTTTTAACCTTTAGGTGTCTGTTTTCAAGCATTTCTCCTCATTCCAGAGGGCTAGAAATGTTTTTTACATGAAAGCTGAGAGTCATAATAATTGCATGACTCTGGGAGCTGGGGCTTTATTACAAACACCAAATAGCACAGGGTCCTGAGAGTTGGCAACCCTGTAACAGCATCCCCAGCCTCAAAGCAAATGGTGGTTTTGTGCCCGTGATGCCTTTCCGGCAGTTAACACTCATCTTCCCTTCCAGCAGGTGGGTCTGAGCAGGCAGCTCTGTGACCAGCTGTCAAGGGGCCACAGAGGAACCGTGTCTGGGATGTTTCACATGGGCTTTTGCCAAGCAATGTGGGGATTCTCACTTGATCTCGTTGGCCAGTTCCTCCTGCGTGTCTTTCTTTTTCTTTCGATAGACGAACATTTGGAGAACAAACAAGATAATTAAGCCGACTCCAATGAGGGACCCCACCACAGCTCCGGCGATCACGGCTGCACTGAGCGCTACAGAGAACGAGACAGAGAGAGAGTCTAGAGAGAGGAACGCCAGGGCCAGAGCAATGCAGCATCCAAGTCAGCGTGAGAGGGGCTGGCTTCTGCACAGCAAAGCTGGGCTTCTCCCATGTGTCTTGGAATGGGGGAAGGAGAAGTGGTGGGGACAGCCCATTGATTCAGGAGTGGAGCCGCCCCATGGTACAGAAATCCCCTTCTTTGAGGTCCTCCAGGATCCTGTTCGCCTTTGCTGCCATCTGTGCAGCGTGCTGCTGGCGGTAACAGTGTTCATTAAGGCTACGATTTAGTCCTGGAGGTCACGGATTCTGTGACTTTACTGGACCTCCGTGGCTTCTAGGGCTTCAGGAGGAGCAGTGGCGTAGCCAGGTGGAGGGAACAGGGGGAGCGATCAAAAACAAAAAAAAGGCGTCACCTGCTGTAGCCCTTTTACTCATCTGGCGGCACTCTGGGTCTTCGGCGGCGGGCCCTTCACTTGCTCCAGGTGTCTTCGGTGGCACTGAAGGACCCAAAGAGTGCGTGAAGGTCCTGCCGCCAAAGACCTGCGGAGTGAGTGAAGGTCCTGCCGCTGAAGACCCGGAGCGCCGCCAGGTGAATAAAAGCGCCGCAGCGGGTGGCGCTTTTTTTTTTTTTTTTAAATTCGCTCCCCCTGTTCCCTCCAGGTGAGTAAAAATTAAAAAGGCGCCAAGAACTTGACAAGGCGCCACTTGTGCTCAGTGGGGGAGCGGCCGCGGCCCAGTCCCCGCCTAGCTACGCTACTGAGGAGGAGGAGACGGGACTGTGCGCCCCTGCCCTGCAACGGGGGCGGGCTGGAACCAGGACCCTGCAGCCCCAGCCCCGCGGCTTCCACCAGTGGCTGCAGCCGGGCGGTGCGCCCCAGCCCCACAGCGTCCCCGGCTGGGCGGGGCCATGTGCCCCAGTCCTGCGGCTTTCGCCTGGGGCTGCAGTGTGCAGCTTCCAAGGGCCATTGCCTCTCCCCCACCCCCATGGCCACGGCTTGGCAGGGGCTGCAGTGGGGGCTGTGCACTCTGTCCTGCAGCTGGGCCAGCTCTGGAGCAGGGGCTGTGTGCCCCCCGTGGCTGCGTGCCCCCTGCTGCAGTTACTGGAGTCAGGGCTGTGTTGTTCCCCCCACCCCCCACCATGACAGGGGGCTTGGCCTGTCAGTCTCTCCCCCCCCGGGGGATTCCATTCCTCTCCCCTACCTAGCCCTGCTCTGCCCCGTTATTTGTAGTAAAGTAAAGGACAAGTCATGGCCTCCGTGAATTTTTGTTTATTACCTGTGACCTGTTCATGACTTTTACTAAAAATAACTGAAAAAATCTTAGTCTTATTAATAATCCCCCAATCTTGTGCATGGGTCATGCACTCCAGGTCTGCAGCAACATTTCCCAGGTCACAAGTAAATCGCATCCCTTTGGAGCGGGCAGGAATCCCTCAGCCATTCCCAGGCTCCTCCCCTCCTGGGGCTAACTCTCCCTTCCAAGGATCTAGGTCACTTCAAGCATTAACGGCGGATCTAATGGCCACGGCTCCCCCACACCGGGGCTCCAGAAGTGCCGAGCTTGCTGCTCAGGGAACGTACTCACATGAATTCACCTCCAGGGTGATGTTGCACTTGGAGCTGCCGGCTACGTTTGCTGCTGTACAGACGTACGTCCCAGACATCTCCTTGGAGAGGTTCGTTAGCATCAGGGTCCCTCTCGCGAGGTCTGCAAAATTCATAAAGAAGAACAAGAGACCCGGAGAGTCTAAATCACCGCTCAATGACATTTCATCCCATCTGCCAATGGGGTGCAAGAGGCGCAGATGTATTAAAGCAACCAGCTGGGAGGCCGGCATCTCTAAGGGGGCAGAGTTAAGGTTGCGATGTCGTGTGCCGTAGCTGTCGCAGTGGTAGAGCATGCGTGTGGGTGAAGGAGGAGAGGGGATGGACTGTTATGTGGCTTAACATTATAGTGCTTTGCGTTTGTGATTCTGTGACGGGTATAGGGCAACCATCGCTGTTTCACACTGAAACGGTGTGTGTGTGAATGTATCATATTGGAGTCTAGCCATTTTCATAAAGCGACATTATTGAACAGCACAATCAAATAAACTCCCCATTTGCCGCTTGCATGCCCAACGCTCTGGTTCACTGACCAAAACTACCCCCATTTATTATGGCTCCGCACAATATTTAAAGCTTTTAAATGAGTAAACTCTAAACATCTCTGCCCCTGCTTCCAGAGCCCTGCTCCTCACAGAGCAGCGAGGACCACGCTGTGCACAGCCATTGTGCTGCATCGCAAAGGAATGCTTTGGCAAAGAGGCGCTGTTTGAAGGTTAATCCCCAGCGCTGTTGCATCTCTGATGACTGCAGTATTCTGTGACCCAGAGCTCAGGGTGTTAGAAAGAGGCCACCTGTATCACAGGTGTAGGTGCTTCTATGTGAACGGAGGCCCGTGGGGGCGGAGCTTGTGGCAAGAAAGGTCAGAAATTTAATCCCCTTTCGAAAGGATTGTTGAAACAAAGAGCGCGCTGTGTCCCTTCCCGGCGAAGAAGGGATGTTTAGCCCACTTTGCCCACAGCTGCAGGCGCTTGTAGCCCGGATAGCAAACCAGTGAAAGTGTCCAGCTGCGTATGTTCCCCACACCACGGGGCTTCTTTTAAGAGAGATGTTCTCTAAACCATGCAGACGTGTGTGTGTGTGTGTGTGTGTGTCTTCCTTCCACAAATCCTGCCCATTGCCAGCTTGGCATAAGAAGACACGGCACTTGCAGAGCCCGTGTCGCCTTTCCGTCACTGCGGCCGAGCCCAAAGCGGCACCCGCGTTCCTGACAGCCCGTTTGACGTGACCCGTCTCGGTGTAAGCCGCGGGGGAGCCTCGGAGCACTGCCCTGGGAACCACAGGCTCAGCGGAGGGTTTAACCCTCGCCAGAGCTTTGGAAAGGAGCTGCGGGGTGGCAGATATTGGCTGCTGCTGGAAACAGGCCGCAGCAGCAGGTGCCGGCCTGGCGAACAGCCATTCCCACAGAACAAACCTTCCAGCAAATGGCTGCGCCCAGGGTGCTCCTCGGCTTCCCAGCTGCTCCAGTACAGAGCACCATCGGAGAAGGCAACATCCCCAGTCAGTAACCAGAGCCAGCTGCCAAGACAAGCCCCTCCCTGCCAGCATCAAGGGAAACTGAACCAGGGCCCTTCACTACAGTCTGACACGGCCCAAGCCTACTGGCCTTTAGCAGTTGCAATCAAGCCCATTTATTCTGCCAGGCTTTCGGGGGGAAGACGGGAGGGGCAGAAAGGAGGTATCAGTCTGGGGTGGGGAGTAATACTCCAGTGGCATAGTGACTTCTCAGGGGGTGAACTGAGCGGCACAGTAATACGTTTCTGTTGGCCTCCTTAGGTTTGCACGCTTTGTATTAAGTTTATTGTACACACGTGGCAGCTGCAGGGTTTATTTAGATTTTTGCTTGTGCCTAAAGCCGCAGACTGCAGTAGCCAGATGGGTTTGGCACCACGGTTAAACTCAGACTCTAGCCAGGGCCATGAGAGCGGAGCCCTACCACCAGCAGCCTCCAGCTGTTCAGCTCTCGCTATGTCCACACTGCAATTAAAGGCGTGACTGCTGCACACGGAGACGCACCGGAGCTAGCTTTGATCTCGCTAGCTCGGGAACCATAAAGCACACGTGGCAGCGCAGGCTGGGTATGTACTCGAGTGGCTAGCCCGTGCTGCCACAGCTTCGCTGTCATTGGCACCTGAGCTAGCGGGATCAAAGCTAGACTGGGTCCGTCTACACTGACGGCAGTGAAGACAGGTTCCTAAGATCTCATTGCACAACCCCACACAGCACTGAGATTAGCCAATCAGAAACCTAGGGGAGTCTGAGCAGCGCCCATAGAGGGGACAGGACAGCGCCAACTATCCTGGAGCCCACAAAGGCAGACCGTGCCACACTCCCCCATGCAGAAACCTTAGGGATCAGCAAAGGCCCGGCTAGTGGTGACTAGCCAGGAACACCCCTTCCTCCACCCCCCCTCGCTTTTTACTGCACTCAGCACGTTATTAAGCTACACTTACACCAGTGACACTGTTTCCATAGTAACTAATGTATTTCAAAGAGGAAAAGTGGAAGGGGTCTGATGGGAGGGAGGACAAAAAAGGACCCACATAAAACCAATTGCGAAATCGCCACAGGTAGTGCTGGCAGCAAGAGATTACACCTGCGTGTCTCCTCAGCCCTGTGCTGACTGGGGCTCTGCCGACTGTAGAGCAGCCCACAGGGTACGTACACACACAGGGTACAGCTTTGCAAAGAGCCTAAGGGTACGGCTACAGCGCGAATTCAGGTGTGACGGTCATGTGGCAGGCACACCCGTGTCCGCTTGAATCTAGCGAGCACAAGTAAGGAGAACAGCATGGACCCGAGTAGATGCACAGAGTGGGTTTGCATGGGGGCAGCTAGCCCATGCTGAAGCCTGTGCGTGCCACCGTACCTTCACTACCATGGTTATTTGTGCTAGCTAGATTACAGCTGGCACAGGTATGCCAACCCACGCGGCAGTCACAGCTTCCTGTGCAGGGCAGACGGACCCTGAGTGACTTAGGCACTTCTGAAAATTTCACACCTTCCTCACCCCTTGGCAATATCCCTTCCCCTCGTCACACTTCACAAATTAAAAACCAGTGCCTGGGTATCCTCTGTTCGTACAGCACCTAGCGCCACAGGCTCTGAGCCTGATGGGGGCCCCCCAGGACTGCGGTAATAATGAATAATGCTAGTGATGCTGTGATGATGGGGTGCAGACCCTGATGGGAAGCAGGATACGTTCTCTGGCTGATGACCTGGATGAGATACTCAGGGCTGTATCTAATCACCCACGAGTCTCTGGGAGCCATCCGAGCCGTTCAGCTATTCTTCCCGAGAGGCTGGGAATAGAGGAAACATCCCGCAGCAGAGCTTTGGTGTCAGTAGCCCAACTCACCCCAGGCACAATCCCACCGACTCCAGGGGAGTTACGCTAACGATGCATTTGGCTCCAGACGTTTGTTCCCTGTGCGTCAATCTGGTAGCCTGATGGTTTGTATTAAGCACTGGCATGTGTAACGCCCCTGCAAAGCAGTTTCTGTCTGCTGTATGGCCGCTAAGCCTCCACTGCTGTTTGCAGGTGAGCAGACATGTGGGGAGGGGGAGATCCGAAAAGCAACCCACCCTCTTAGCATGGCTTAGAGCCCAGCCGGGGGCAGGCACTGGAGATAGCAAGTGGCAGCGAATACTGCGGCCCAGGGAAGTGTCCTAGGACAGGCCTCACCTACAGGGCCGAGATGCTACAAGTCAGGAAGTCGTAAAGGAAAAGGAAAGCCGAGACACAGCTAACGTGCCGTGGCTGTAAAGCTGGACACTAGTAAAAATAAACGGAGCCGGTTTTACAGAGCCAGGCTCCGGGTGAGGCAGCAATGGAGGAACGAGTGTATTTCCAGACAGCTGTGAAATGTCAGCAGCTCCGTTGTCGACGGGAATGACACTCATCCCGGAGGTCAGGCAAAGCGTCCCCAACCCTCTCTTCCATCGTAACAAGAGGAGCATAATTAGCGTAACTTTGGCCAGGCGGTTAGCGTAAGGCTGGTGGTGGCGGGAGAGCCAGAGACAATGAGCCTGTACTGATGCGCGCGAGGGGTCGTGACGAATGATGTTACCTGTCAAAATTGTTACTGTGCTTAAAACTATGTAGAGAGACAAGGTCGGTGAGGGAATATCTTTTACTGGACCAACTTCTGTTGGTGAGAGACACACGCTTGGTCCAATAAAAGCTATTACCTCACCCACCTGGTCTCTGTAATATCCTGGGACTGACACACCTACAACCACCATGTAGGGCAGTGACTCTACAAGAACCTAACTGGGAGTCAGGACTCCTGAGGTCTATTCGCAGCTTTGCCATCTACAGTGAGGCCCTGGGGTGTCCTTTCACCTCTCGGAGGTTCAGCAACATCCCTATGAAAGGGGGAGAATACCTGCCCCACTTCACAGAGGTATTAGCGTAATGGATATGGAAATACTTGGAGATCCTTCGGTGAAACGAGCTATTGAGTGCACACGTTGTATTCTCCTCCCAGCCTGACTCAGGAGTCACACCTGTACCTGTAACTTTCCATGAGCATATTAAAATAATTTGTTAGAGAGGCCCAAGCTAACCCCCGCATCCAACAACCCCAAACCTTTCCTAGTAGGGGTTGGGAATACTAAACGTCCAAGGCTGACTCTCTCTGCTCTAGAGCCAATCAAGAACTCAGTTCAGAGAAAGGCAGGGAAGTCAAGGAAGCCGCTGCATACCGAGAACCGAGCGTGGCAATGGTATGTAACAGCCTGACGAGTGACGAAGGGGGTGCTGCACGCCAGGTGGGCGAGTGTGTGCCACCAGGGGAGGGCATGTTGCTGTGAGAACCTGCCCTTTTACATTTCCTGACTTCTTCCCTTCATAAAACAGTCGTCCGGTATTTAATTAAACACAAGAGCAGACATCAGGAGCAGGGGGGACAATGCGAATTAGGAGAAGTGACCATGACTAATAGAACTCCACTAACCAAGAGATCCAGTCTGCATAAATCCCCAGGCAGGGGAAAAGGAATGCCTGCTATGCTATGCTGCGTGCTTGACAGAAATCTGACTAGTTCAAATGCTAAATTCATTCATCTGACATCTCTTCCCCCTGAAAGTCCCACTTGGTGTTGGGAGGATCTGTATCATCGCAGCGTCAACGAAGATCAGAGACCCATCATGCTAGGTGTGGGATACGTACATATTCATCGTAGCGCTTACAATCTACATAGAATCATGGAATATCAGGGCTGGAAGGGACCTCAGGAGGTCATTAAGTCCAACCCCCTGCTCAAAGCAGGACCAACCCCAACTAAATCATCCCAGCCAGGGCTTTGTCAAGCCTGACCTTAAAAACCTCTAAGGAAGGAGATCCCACCACCTCCCTAGGTAACCCATTCCAGTGCTTCATAGACAGGACAAAGGGCAGGGGAAAGGAAGGGTGGGGAGCTGAGGCCAGAGACATTCAATGACTTGCCCACAGCCACTCAGGGAGTCGGTGACAGAGCTGGGAATTCAACCCAGATCTCCCTCCTCCCAGTCCTTGACTTAACCGCAATGCCACCCTTCCCCTCTGTTATACAGTCACTACCCTTCTGAACCAGGGTCCCTGTAAGGAACACACGTGACTTCCAGCAAGGCAGAGAGAGAAGGGAGGATCAAATCAAAGAAGGGAGTTTGAAAGATTCCATCTGTTACTAAGTTAGGACTCCCTGACCTTTTCTCCACCCCCCTGCAGCTCTGGATGTGGCAGCCCGTGAAGTTCCCATGCAAATCCCCTGACTCCGTGTGCTCAGAACAGTCACCTCCTGGGCTGCCGTTTTCCATGCTCGGGCTCTGCCCGAATGGGGATTTTTGAGGATTCAGCCCAGCGAGGTCCAGCCGTTTCAGAGCTGGGAGGGAAGTCAGACTGAACACAGCGTTCTCCCCAAGTGGTGGGGACGGTAAACTGCAGAGCCGACAGATGCACATTCCCCCAGGTGACTGGTCCAGCTGGGTAGGAATGGAGTCGGGTGCACACACAATAGAACACACCCAGTAGTTTAATGCTGCAATGTTACCCCCGGTGCCTGGCACGAGTGTGCAGCTGTTTGATAGCACAGAACACCTGGTCCATGGACCTGCTCCAAACTGGCCACAATCCAGGTGAATGCCACGGGGAAGCCAGTGCCTGGTGAGAATGATCCTCCTCCCTTTCCCCACATTGCCCCAGCCACTCAGACCCCTTGGTGAGAGCATCAGGCTTTTCTGCTTGATACCCAGTCAGTGCCACGATCCTGGTGCACTCAGGGTGGGGATTCCTACCTTGGGCTGGTGCAAAGAAGACCTGGGTGTTGGGGGCGGTACGCTGCCAGCTGTACTTGGGGCTGGGCTTGCTGAAGGATGACTTGCAGCTCATGGTGACGTTGCCCCCAAGGTAGGGTTTCCCATGGATCTGGCACGTCGGGGGGGATGGAGGAACTGGAGAGAGCAGGAGGAGAAGACGGGTTAGTGCCTTTTGAATGAGGACATCATTATAGGGCCTAGTTCCAGCTGTAACTTGCAAAAAGAAACAGCGCCATCTATTGGCCACAGGCAGCACCGAACAAATCCATACCGGAAATCCAGAGTAGTCATGTAAGCTTGAAACCTGCACCCTCACTTTCCTAACTCTGGCTCTGCTGCCAACGCTGTAGAGAAACCCCCTCAGCGGCTGTTATTGTGAACAACCCAGGAAAGCACTCCGGCTCCAGATGGATCTGCAATGCCCAGTAAATGGTTCGTTTCCCTAAAGCAACCACACAGCGCAGCATCAGCAGTGTCCCGTGTTCCAATGGTAGGTTTACTGCACTGAAACCAACCTCTTATCTGGTCAGGTTAGAGGTGTCTCGCTGCGCCAGCCCGAAGGGCAGCAACAGCCAGACCCCGAGAGCTGTCCACAGACAACAGCAGGGGATGGAGTTGTGGTGAGGTTCTGTCAAAACATTGATTTCTGAACTTTCAAGACTTCCCACACATTCAATATTGCTTCGGTGCAAGATTTATGCCAGGCCCCAGTGCCACAACGCAACAAGCCACTTGGTTAACTAGAATGAGAGACATGCTTCTAAACCCCCTAGGCTGTTTGGAAAGTCTCAGTTACACCATCAGAACACAGGCATTGCCAGACTGGATCAGACCCAAGGTCCATCTAGCCTAGGATCCTATCTGACAGTGGCAGAAGATGATGTAAGAACCTCACAGCATGATGATGTGGTGTGATCTGCCCTTACATAAGGTCTCATCCGGATCGCTAGCAGCGACCAGCCCAAGTCCTGAAGCAGGAGGTTTAATACCCTCCCAAAAACCTTCTTGGCATTAACTATGGTAACCCTGGGTATTCTAGGTGTCCATATAAATGGCCACTCCCTCTTTGATTCTTGTTCAGTTCTTGGTGTCAATGCCATGCTGTGGCAGCAAGTCCCAACAGCTAATTATGCACTGAGTGAAAAAGTATTTGCTTTTATTGGTTTTGAATGTGCCACCTTTAAATTACAGTTACCGTCCCTTTATTTGTGTAGGAGAACCGAAGCTCCCAATGTACCTTCTCTAGACTGTTCATTATTCAATAGACTTTCCGTGTCCCTCCTTTATTCATCTCCCTTCTAAGATAACCCCCAAATTCCGTTTCTCTTTATAGAGTTTGTCCAGCCCTGTACCATTCTCTGAACCACCTCCAGCTTTGAAGTATCCTGCCCACAGCACCCCGCTGCTCTACTGATTGCTACAATGACATTATAATATCTTCCAAATTATTTTCCATCCCTTTCCTTATACCTCCCAACAGCTTGTTTGCTTTTTGATTGCCGCTGTGCATTGAGCAGAGGCTCTATTGAGCTATCTGCAGAGATGCTCAGGTCCCTTTCCTGAGTTGATGCAGATAATTGAGAACCCTGTAAGGTGTACGAATAGCTTACGTTTCTCCCTCCAATTTAGTACCCATTGAATTTCATTGGACTTCACGTGACCCCTTCCCCTAAGCTTGGTTTGGTCTCGGAGATGTCTCGCAGTCCTTTATGGTCCTGAACAACGCAAATAACGGTCATCCGCAAATTTTGCTACCTTACTGCCCCGACACCTTCACTTTCTGGATTATCAGTAATCAATCCGGGACCTAGCGTATCACCTTGAGGCATTCGCGCTTTACTTTCGGTCATGAGGTTTTATGTTAGTGCATTGGGCTATGGGATGTGATCATGACAAGAGACCCTATCCAATTCTCCTTTTTACACTGCACTTATCACCGTGGTAACAGACTGTCTTTGTGGTCCGGACCACAACCCTCAGTTTTTGGACAATTAAACTCAAGTCTGTTACAGGAACAGTTTTTATCTTTCATCTCTCTCCCCCCGCAGCAGCCAGCTGATGCCCACCACAGGTGGTGCTGTCACAAACTGCCCAGCATGGAGCTGCACATCCCATTTGGGCCCAACCCTGGTGCCTTGCATCAGCCCCCACAGCCCCAAAAGGGCACATCCGGGGCTGGGAGGGAGCACGCGAGGACCCAGAACTTACCCAGAACGGTGAGGTTGATGAGTCCAATATTTTTCCCGTTGATGGTATCGTCATCCACAATGTTGACCGTGCACATGTATTCACCAGAATCCATTTCTTGGGTGTTGTTAATGGCAATGGAAATGTTGAAGAAAGGCATAGGGTACACAAAGCCAGTCCGGTTCTTCAGGTATGTCTCCTGCACTTTCACCGTCCCATCCATGTACGTCAGTATCTGAAGAGAGAAGAGAAGAGAAGAGAAGAGAAGAGAAGACAATGCACCTGGGAGTCCTGCAGCCGTCAGGGGGCAAGGGAGTTGCTTTGGCTTCAAGAGGCACATCTCCAGATTGCATCATAACCACTAATAGCCTGGGCCAGTGGGCGTCAGGGGGCAGCTCCACTGCAGTCAATCCTCACTATCAATCCCTCTGTGGATTAGGGCTTGGGAAGCCCGCAATAAAACATGAGAGAAGCAAAGGAGAGCAACAAGCATGACCCACGGAGGAAAGGGTAAGGAATGGCAGAGAGACTAAGGGAGCTGGGAAAGAGGAGATGCTGGGACGGGGCTGATGAGGACACCGAATACTTTACAGGGATCAGCGTAGCTGAGAGAGGGCAGGACAAAGAGTAAAGACGGGGAAGCCGAGGCTACACAGCGTGTAATAGAACTTCCCCACGCTCCCCAGAATGCAGCGCTACCAAGGTTCCAGTGAAACAGGACATTAGGGGGACAGTGAAGTGGGCCAGGGAGAAAAGGCCCTGTGCTCAGATGGCTTCTGGAAACAGGAGCGGTGCAGAGATCCAGGGAGGCTGTCCCAGAGAGTGGCAGGAGCTGCAGGGAAGAAGGATCTCGCACCTGTCGTGGGAAGCCCAGTGCTAGGTCAGAGGAGAGAGAGTGAGTAGGTCACCTGGGCTTTAAACCCAGGAGGGGCTGGATCTCGCCGTGAGCGTGTAGTGACACAGAGGATGGAGTCACACGTCTGTCACATGAGAGGAGGTGGGCACGGCAGGAGCATTTTGCACATGCTGGGCTCTGGAGAGCTGGTACGTGGGGAAGCCAGTGAAAGGAGCTCCTGGGAGAGGAGACGCAGCAGCGGTGGGGCTGAGGCAGATGCACAGAGGCGATGGTAGAGAGTGAAGTAATTTTAAGAGCCATGACAACTACAGCAATGGCACAGACTCCCCGAAGGAGGTGGCAGCGGCCGAGCCACCATCACTGCAGAGCCCCGAGCAGCGTGGTAGAGTGCAGGACAGAGCAGGAGCTACACCTCTAACAAAGGTCAAGCGAGGCCTGAGCTTAGGTGAGGGCAGAAGGAAAATGGGAGCGGAGAGGAGCTGGGGGACAAAGCAGTTTCTGCTGGACTTCAAAGGGCTCAGATCCGTGGCGGACGGGATCCGGAGAGACACCACTCACGGGACTGAGCCATTTCAACCAAACTGTCCCGCTGGATGAGCGCAAGCTCTCCTCTCTCAGCACATGGGAAGGAGTCACGATCCAGGCTCGGCAGTTCATCAGCTCCTGCAGCCTGTTCCCCACCTGACGCGGTAACAGTCTGGCACCTCACAGCGATGGTGCTGGGTTGCCGTGGGGGTGACAGGACTGTCACAGGGACGGGGGAGCAGGCACTGAGACTAGATGGGCTCTTGAATCTAAACAAAAGCAGAATACTGCCTAGACACTGGCACCATAATGTCACAGCTGTTCCTCCAACAGTCCCAAGGTGAGGACGCTGCTCTGGACCAATGTGTGACTCACCTGTGCAGGTACCGATGGGTCACCACAGATTTAACCAGCCAGAACACTAATATTTGACTACTGTTGTCCACAGGTCAACCTACCCTACAATGTGTGGCAAGTTCTGTTCTTGGGGCTGCTGACTTAGCCATGAAACGCACTGTGGGGTTGGTGCTGAACCAAGATTGATTTCATTTAAAAAAAAATATAGCAAACTTTGGAAGCATCCATATATTTCTTGGCTTAGGGGTCCTTCCTAGATTCTTGGTTGCTTTACTTTTCTAGCTCCTGGTTCGTAAACAGCCAGTGCTGCTTTATCGTTGTCATAACGGCTGTTCTCATGATTTTTTAGTTGAACATAGCGGTTCTGACACCATCCCTCCCCCTTTTTATGGGAGAAACCCAAGTGAGGATAGGGGTCAAACTGGGAAAAAAAGTGGTAAAACTCTGCCAAGCTCCACCCACATTATTCAATATCAGCCCCCACTGAGTCACTGCTGATGACTGAGTCCTCACAAATAAGCACCCGAGTTAGTGATGATCTGTGACCCTTCCTCTCCTTTCCTACATAAGGAATGAAATAGTTAACCATGGTGACCATTAAATCCGCATCGCTGGGCACGGAGTTAACCCTGCACTGGGAACGAGGGGACAATTCACACCTCTGCAAGCGATCGCCCTAGGTTCTCTGCAGACTCAGATAGACATTTCTGCATCAGTCACACTGGCGTCGCATCAGAGGCAAATAGCAGCCCCCGTCTCTCAGTCAACATAAGAACATAAGAATGGCCATACTGGGTCAGACCAAAGGTCCATCTAGCCCAGTATCCTGTCTACCGACAGTGGCCAATGCCAGGTGCCCCAGAGGGAGTGAACCTAACAGGCAATGATCAAGTGATCTCTCTCCTGCCATCCATCTCCGTCTTCTGACAGACAGAGGCTAGGGACACCATTCCTTACCCGTCCTGGCTAATAGCCATTAATGGACTTAACCACCATGAATTTATCCAGTTCTCTTTTAAACTCTGTTATAGTCCTAGCCTTAACAACCTTCTCAGGTAAGGAGTTCCACAAGTTGACTGTGCGCTGCGTGAAGAAGAACTTCCTTTTGTTTGTTTTAAACCTGCTGCCTATTAATTTCATTTGATGACCCCCCAGTCACACTTTCTTTACTTATTACACACAAGACATTTTAAAAGAACATTATAGTTGCAAAGTTAAGAGCCCAGGAGTTAGGAAATGCCAGAACGAAGGCTGCCCATGCACAACGGAGCAAACCTTCAAATTCTGAACATTCACCAGGAATCCACCGATTACAAAATTCAGAGACGTCTGTGGGACAAAACCTGGCGACACACGCGGGCCGAGGGATGTGCTGGCCACCCTTCCAGCCGCCCCCATTGGCCTGGAGCGACAAACCGCGGCCAGTGGGAGCCGCGATCGGCCGAACCTGCGGACGCGGCAGGTAAACAAACCAGCCTGGCCCGCCAGGGGCTTTCCCTGAACAAGCAGCTTTGAGAACCACTGCTGTATAGCACAGGGAGGAAGCCGCACTTAGCTGTGGTCCCTTCCCTGGGCTCTCCCGGCCCCTTAGTGCATGCACTAGCCTGGCCCAGCTCCAGCTGTCACCGCGCAGAACCCTTCCTCCAGGCTCCTCTCACTGCTCACAGGCCTGGTGAGGCTGCAATGGGTCCCTTCCCATCCCTCTCTGCCCTCCCAGCGACGTAATACACTATTGTCCGTGTCAGCGATCTGGTTAGCTTGTTGTACACCGCTCCCCATGGAGATACCCCAACAGATGCTCCTTTGTGCTCGGAGTCAGATCAAGCAGATGGAAATTAAAGCTAGTCAAGTAACAAAGTGGCTCTGTCGAAACTGGGCAGTGCAACACCAGGAGTCGGCAGCACTTGAAAAATGCCACACACCCCATCCTCACACACACTTTCCTCGGCGTTTGGAAAGCCCTGGTCACACCGACGTGTTGCAATGCCCGGGGCAAGACATTTAGTTGCACTGAACAGGCTGCTCTTCCACAATGGTTTATCCCCAGGGTGTAGGGGAGGCCCAGATATCGTAGAT